TTGAATTATCTAATTGCTTGAGAATAACTTCTATTAATCCTTTTCTTTCGATTTCTTGTTTTTCAGAATTCCATTTATCATATGGTCCATCCCTCCACACTGCTTTGAATATGGAAGCGCAACCTCCTCTTTTTTTATACTCCACCTCACTAAAATTTTTGTATGGTATCCATTCAATAACAAAACTAGGCCGAATTGTAGAATTTTGACATTCTTGAATTAACGCATCGACTTCTGCATTTCCGGAAGTCCAATTTTGAAAATTATTTCTTAAATATTCTCGAATACAATGCACGCAGTGGTGAGCTGCATAAGTCCATTCCTCACAATAACGACATTGTCTTTTGTTTCCACGTTTATTTCTGACGCTTTCATCGTCAAAACTTTTTTGTATTACCCGAAGCAAATAGCTCTCTTCTTTTTTAGTAAGGGCGTTATCTTTGGGTACCTTTCCTATCACAAATTCAAATATTTCTTCGGCTGTTTTATAGGTATCTTGATCCCTAAGAATTTCCGCTTTGTTGTATATCGAATATACGAGATCATAACGAATTTTAATATTGTCTCCCATGGATTTTTTTTTTTTTTTAAAAAAAAAAGAAGGTATATGCTGCGTATATATCTTGAAAAAAAAAAAAAAACTACGTGTAAAACAATTTGTGACACATACATAATATATACACGTTATACAAAATAGAGTTTCCTGTTTCAAGTAATGCAAACCTTTTATGCAGACAAGAAAAAAATTTTTACAGTAATGTATTTTATAATTTAGTATATACGTATCTTACATTGTTTTACCCTCGATTGATGTTGCAATGAGATTAGTGACCAAGATCATCTTTATTCTCAATTGGTTTATTGTTTTTTTTTCGTCAAAATCCATTTTGCAGAACTTTCAAAAAGTGTGTGCTTAAAAAAAACTTATACTGTAATCGTGAGCCGCTTGATTATGTGTAGAATTCATTCAAATAAATCCGAAACCTATAAATAAATAAATAAATTATAAATTAACCAACCTTTATCGAATACTTTAAGTTTTCTTTTGATGATTGATTTAAATAAATATACTTATCTTTAATCCAATCTAAATGCAGTGTGTTTTTATGTGATCCTAATAGTTTCGAATTCAATCAATTATTATTATTATTTTTTTTCGTAATACCCGCAGCCAGGCTAGATCGTAGTTTATTAATTAATTGAAAACATAAGTACATATTCACTCAAGCAGCATGATACAATAATAATAATAACAAAACATTAATAACACATATCAATTAAAT